AAACATTAAGAGCAGATGCTCTTGGAGGCCTGGGTGCTGGTCATGTAACAGCTGGGTTCAAAGAGGTACTAAGCAAAACACTTAAAATGTTCTCCCACTGAATTAATACTCTGTTATTCACCCTCTATAAGACCATAAAGTGCTAGGATGGCTGGAGCCAGTGCTCTTTGTGTTTCCCAGCCCTGGATGTACTTTTTTTTCTGTGAATTTGTCCCATGTATGCTTTCAACAGCCACAGACTTCAGAGACAAGATGTTGCACAGCTGAAGGGCATGTTGTTGTGAAGAGCCACCTCCTCTGTTTGTTCCAAACCTGATTTAGTTTCATTTAATGGAAGCACAGCCTGTTCCCCAAGGGGAACTTTTTGGGGTGCATTCACAGGGAAGGGCGGTGCCAGCAATGATGCACTAAGCCCATGTCTCTCCTGGCAAGGAATCTGGGAGCCACTGAGGGGTCTCTGCTTGTTCATTAAGTTTCTTCATCTCCACTAGATTTTTCTCAAATAGAAAAGTTATTAATATGACTCGTGACTGTTGCAGTGAAGGATGGGGTCAGAGTTCTGGAGTGCTGCTCTCCAGAATTGTCTTGACTGAGAGACTTCAAACACTGTTTAACCAGTCCCTGCCCCATCACTGTCCCACTTCAATCTACTCATTATCCAGCAAGACAAGTCTCATACCAGCCAGGTAGGTTAGAGGAAAACTGTGCCTCAAGAAGCTGTGAAAGATCACCGCTTTTCTCCAGGAAAGCTAGAACTTTTACCTTTGTCATACACATATGTACAAGACTGATAGCAAGAGCAACCCATTTTCCATGTCTTGAATACTTCACGACTGAACTACTACTCACCAAAAGATCACAGAAATAACTGATTTTATGTTAAATATGATCTAGGACATCTGACAGAGCAGCAGATGTCTTACTTAATATGCCCCTCCATGCAGAAGCATTGGCGAGAATGTACGGTGCAGGAGCAAAGAAGCTGATGTTAAACTTCTGCAGCCAATGATTTCTACCAAGGCAAGATCTTCTGTCAGTTCAGAAGCCAGATACGTGCATTGCCACAGGTTTTATGTGGAAGTCAGCAGAGAGGCTGGTACCACCTGTGATTTGTTCAGCTTGGGTTTGGTAGGGAAAAGAGGAAGAAGGACCTTAGTTCAGCAGAGTTCTGACCTTCAGACTGGCACAAATCCTCTTCCTCTTCTTCAAAGAAATGCAAGAAACTTATCATTCCCCTCAAGACTTTTATGTCTGGAGGTGGCCATGCCTTCTTCTCTAATGAGAGGAAAGAAACAACCAAACGAATAAGTTGGCCAAAGTGTTCAACTATTATTGTGTGGAAGGAGAACAGGAAATGAAGAGGAATTACAAGCTGACAATGAGTCATGTTATGCCTTCTTGTCTTTCTTCCAGAAGTGAAAGAAGGGCAAATTTCCCCTTTAGATTCTCTAATTTGCTGGGGGGAAAGATAAACCATGTTTTACTTTTAGCAGCTTTTGTTCTTGCATGTGCTCCTGGACCTAAGGGCACAGAGAGCACTGTGCTGCTGGGGAGGCTGCTACATCTGACCAGCCAGACTGCACTGCCCATGTGAGCATGGAGAATTTGCTTGCATTTCTATTGTTGTGCTTTTGATTTCTGCAGGACCAAAAAAATCCAACCAACCAACAAAAGAGATTCAAGGACACATGGAGACAGTTTTCCAAAAATGGAAACCTGTTTTTCACTGAGAGGATTTCCAGAGCAATCTAAGTGGCTGAGGATCTTGTCTCAAATAGAATTTGGACCAGTGGGTAGATCCTCATGCACAAATTGCGCTTGGGGATTTTAATTCCTTTATGCATGCTTGTTCCTAAACCTGCTAACTAGTGAGGACTGTTGTTCCCAGACACCAGCTCAGGCTCTGATAGCTTTTGTAAGAGCATTTGTATCAAAATATTATTGTGCTGGAGTCTCCAAGGCCATCTGGGGCTTGGTGCAGACAGGGTGCTTACAAATGAATATGAACCAAAGCAAATCAACATTGCTTGGCAGGATTGAAATGTATTGCTAGGGTCCGTCTCTGCCAAGCTAGACTGTTTGGCTCCAGTCCCACTCTTTAGGGGGATTGTCTGTCACAACACAATTTGGTATTGTACGGCGTCATGGTTACATGGCTCACTGCTCCTTTAACCCCTCTCAGGCCTTATACTCTGCTTATTTGTTGAGTGGAATCCTGTGAATCTCCAACTCTTAAAGCAGACCTCGGACTCTGGTACCTTACATCAGTTGTCCCTCATGCCACTGTGCTGGTTCAGGTACAGCTTTCCCTCAGGAGCTGTCAACCTGTACATTGCAGTCCTCTTGAAAGGAAGACATTATTTCTCAATGCCACAGAATGATAAGAAGACAGATCTTTGTACCATCTCATGATGGAAGCCTAGCTTCTTGGTCTAACCACCTCAAAAACCTGGTTATCCTTTCAAGTGGGAGTCCAGCTTGGACACTTGATTGAGTCTCCATGATTATCCCATCCCTTCATGAGCTGCTGCTGCTTCTGCTGAGCCCTGCTGGCAAACCCAGAAGCCACCCATTAGAGGACAAACCAAGATATCAGGGTGAATGTCCTACCAGGTTTGCTGCGAGGCGTATAATCATATCACCCTCACCACTCTGGACATGTTTCTGAGTTCATTGAATCTAAATATGGATGTAGTACATTATCACAGGGTGTTGGCCAAGACACAACAGTACAGGTGGCTCCAAGTCTATTACATACAGTTTTTGCTATAGTGAAAACCCGCAGGAAGCACTGGTAGAAGTGCTGCCTCTGAACACAGGTTCTGCTGCGCCACCTCCCATCCTGGAGGCTCTGTGAGGGGCAGCAGGAGGAGGATGTGCATATTCCCTTTGGAAGGCAGGTGAAGAGGCAGATCCAGCCTGGAGATATCCGTTTTTTGTAGGTGTGACAGGCAGCACGTGCCGTCCCGCAGGCAGGCACTGCCCGCGCCGCTGCCCAAGCGGTCACGTCGCCCACCAGCCCGGGACGCAGCTGCAGCCTCCTTCCCGGTGGGCAGGGCAGCAGCAGCCTTGCACAGGCTGGGACGCCGGAGAAACGCAGCCCGGCTGCCCAGGTCACACAGCCTTCCTTGTGGCTTTCCCCTCACACTGCAGGATTTGAGTGTTTTCCTTCAAAGTTCAGGTTAAAGCACACTGGTACTGCCCGGCTCTCCCAGGCAATGTCTGCTCTGTAGGCTGGGCTGAGGGGTAACTCCACGAGGGTAGGTCCCAAGTGCTGGGCTTCGAGATGGTTGATGGAAAAAGGGGCCTGTAAAAAAAAAAGGAAGAAAATGAGAGGCTGGGCAGATTGTAGAGAGGGAGATGTCTATCAGGAGTGCATTTAATCCACTGGCAGGGAGGAAACATGAGGAATTTGACCGGGAAGGTAAACACGAGCATCACCAGCTGAAGAGCCTGAGCAGCTCTGCTCAATTGCTGGTTCCCCCTCCATCCTCTTCCACCCGCCTTCAGCGACTCCCTCCTACAGAAACCCCAGAACCTCTTCCCCTGGCAGGACATCTCTCTTGAGCTGGAAGTCCCATGGGAGAAGGGCAGGGACAGCACCTCTCTGGCCATGTCCTGGGAGAAGTGGGTGACCGGCAAATGGCTTCTCTTGCTCATAGGCACTGGTAGCGAGTACAAAGCTGTGCAAAAGGCAGGCCAGGACATGAGGGGGGTTTGCACAGATGCAAACAAGCATCTGGGAGGCTGAAGGCCATCTTGCTGAGCTTGCATCAGCCCCATGTTTGGTAAGAGGCAACCAGACACACTGGACGTGCAGTTGGGAGCTTTCTGAGGAGCAAACATGTTCAGATGTCCACGTCAGGTGGTGGCCAGCTATTGCAACATTCCCCAGGTGTAAACATCTGCCAGGGGCCGTTCCCACAGTGAGTGAGACATGGGCTGAAAACACCCATCCTCAGGGCTGCATTCTGCTCCTCAAGTGCTGAGAAAGTCAAAAGTTACCCTTTCCCCATCCCAGCTCTGTCCAGCAGGTAGCTCCTCCTCACCTGCAGTGTTTCAGAGTTAATGCAGAGCTGTGGACTTCTTTTATTTGGGAAAAACAAATGAAACACAAATAAAGTGAGATAATATGTATTTGTAGTGTACAGTAGGCACTGGCATGGCATTAGAGGTATAGTTAGGTTCCTGTGGCTGCAGGAGAAGAACCTTGTGGTGACTTGTGTCTAAAATGTGTACAATTTTTCATTTTTACTATGAAATTTGACATCACTTAGTTCTTACCAGTAATAATATAAACAACCAGAAAAGAAATGTGTCATTTGTTCTGTCTAATGCTGAAAATCAGGTTTTTCTACTAGTGCTTCAGAGCTGGATTAGTCCCACAGCAGCAGAGAGTGGAGAGGAGAGGGTCTAGGCGGGGGTGAGCTTGCTCAGCCCAAGCTTTTATGTACAGCTGTGACATCAAAACACTGGATCTCAGCTCACATCCCCCACCTCCCCAGCCAGGAAGCATCTTTACCTTAACCTCAGTTTCTATCAAAAGGCACTGCCAGAAAGATAAGAGGAAAGAACACGTTTGCCTGGCTGGAGACATAACGCTCTCTTTTGAAGCAAGCAGCCCCTCTCTGTGATACCCCTGTGAGTCACAGCCCCAGCTCGGAGCTGGGCTGGCTGGCGAGAAGGCAGGAGCGTGGCTGGGGGCTCCCTCCTCACTCACCCTTGCTCGGGTGGGTTTCTGGAGCATCCTGACGGGCTCCACTTGTTTTTGCGCTGTGTTCTCCCCATCGCCGCAACGCATTTTTTCTGCAGCTGGGAAGCAGCGAGCTCTTCCTCGCGCTGGAAGTTAATCATCTGCTCGCAATTAACCTATGACCTCCCGTGCCCAAGGCGTGCACGGGGCAGTGCTGCAGCTTTAACGCGGGCGGTGGAAGCGGGAGGAGGACAGCAGTGCCAGGTCCAGCCCCGAAGCCGCTGCAGATCTCCCGCTCCTGCCCGCCATGGGCAGCCGCAGCCTCCTCACCGCCCTCCTCACCGCCGCCCTCGTGCCGCCCCCCGCCGCCCCCTCGGCCCACCACAAGCTCCTGGTGTTCCTCCTCGATGGCTTTCGCTTCGACTACATCGACGACAGCGAGCTGGAGGGTCTGCCGGGCTTTCGGGACATTGTGAACATGGGGGTGAAGGTGGATTACATGACCCCAGACTTCCCTAGTCTCTCTTACCCAAATTACTACACGCTGATGACAGGTGAGTACCTGCATTTTGCTGTGATGATGCTCCTCAGAGCTACCGGCTCCCTGTGCCAAAGTAGATGGCAGCTCCCTGTGACTTTTTTCCTGCAAAGATGACATAAAAATAACAGAGGTCTTGCTTTTAGCTGGGAGTTTAAAAGCACTGCAGCATTACAGCTCAGGATTGCTTGTCCAAAAGTTGCTCTGAACTTGGAAACGCTGTGTGGAGCTGATTTTTGAAGTTCCTCTTTGCTTTCCCACGGTGCTGCCGAGTCCCAACCTGCTGTGACTGTGGCAGCATGGCCATCCAGGTCCCCAGTGGGAGCACTGGTGGAGACAGCTGCATCCTGAACACAAATACGAGTGGGAAATGCATGGAAAACGAAAAGGAGCCTGTTGAGAGCCTTTCCAACTAATAAAAAGGCATGTAAACTGAGGGTGACCGATGTAATAACTTCTTTTCAGCCAGCAAGTCTGTTTTGGCAAGTTCAGCACAAAGTTTCTTTGTAAACTTCACAGACTTTCTACTTTCGCAGGTCACTGTCTTAACTTTGCCCTAAGTCCTTACATCTTTAAGATAATCCCAAATAGGCAAATAAAAAGGATTTTTACTTTTGCTTTCCTACAGTTTCCCTTTTTCTGACTGCCCAGGAGAAGCTGTCAGAAAATTGGGAGGGTAGTCATGATTTTCATGGTGCTGGTTTCCTTTTAATCTAAGTGGAGCAATATGTGATTACAGTGACTCCTGAAAGGTGCAGAGTACGGCTGAGCCCTTTGCATCAGAGAAAGACACCCTAGAAACAACATTTAATAAAAAATAATAATAAAAAAGAAACAAAAAAAACCCCAAAAAAACCAAAAAAAAACCAGAAAAGTTTTTCTGGAGTTTCTGCTTGGTTTTTTTTGGTTGTGTTTTTTTTTCCCCCCCCAGAGTTATTCGACAAACAAGACCTTGCAGCTAAAAAGAAGTGAGAAATTCTGTCCTCTCTAAAGATACATGGTATCTTCTGCTGTCCCGGGAACAATACAATGCCCAGCAGTCCATATACTGCTTGCTGGGAAAGCAAATAGATGCCATTGTCAGACAAAAATCTGACATCAGTTGTGCCCAGTTTGTTTTGAAACTGCTTAACTCCTTCCTCCCCATCTTAGGAGAGGAACGCCTTTCTGTTGCTCATCTCTGAAAAGAGTACAAAACTGCCACAAATTTTTTTAACGACTTGATGCAAATGCGCGAATGCAGACCAAACATCACGAGTGAAAATAACGATGTCACTCGACTGTGGACCTTGGTCTTTAAGTGTATGTAGGCAAACCAGCTTAATACCTCATCTGTAAAAAGCCTTCAGATGAAGCTGTTAAAGAGAACAGGGAAAGTGACTGCTTTCTCTCCTAATCACATCTAATCATCTCTCCTATTCAGTGAGTATGCGTAGGGTGAAGTCTATAATCAACCTTCTGAGGAGTTTTGAAAACATCCTCTTTTGTGCTACCAAAGAAGGAGTTTTGTTTTAGATAATGAAACTGCAGTACTAGGCTTTTATGTTTTTAGGGTACCACCAGAGTTTCTACACCTCATCTTGAGGAAATGAGACAATCTGTCAGACCAAACTCAACTCCTCTTGCAGGTCTCCTGGCCTTCATGATGAGGATCTCAATGCAAATAACAACTTAATTGCAAATAATGATTCACCTTCATAACACATGAGTCACAGCAGTGTTAAATAGGTCAGGAACCAACTGAGGACCAAACTGAGGTGTTGACCATGCCCAAAGAAAGATCCAAGACTGCACTTGAGCCCTCGGTGTGACTGTGTATTGACATGACAACAGGGTAAATCCCATGGTTGCGCTGTTCTTGCTCCCAGTGCCGCAGTGGAGTCTCCACAAGAAGGAGATGTCATGTCTTAGATGATGTGGTGGGGTTAGGAGCATGGGGCATGATGCAGATGTAGCATTAGCTGTGTTCAGTCTGTGCACATTTGATTTGGAAAGCTGGGGCAGCTTTTGGGGAAAAAACAAGCATGACAGTGTGACATGAGCATTGCACTGTAGTGACCTGCTCAGGGACGGGCAAGTGGATATCTCCCCATTGCTGCTGTATGGGATTTAAGCTTACATCACATCTCTCCAGTCATGCCTCTCTTGTGAGAAGTGCTGTAACTGGTTTTGCTTCCATTTGCAACTGGGACGTGCAGGACTGCCACAGTATCTTCTGGGAAATCAGGGACTACAAGGACAGGCTATTCTTTTCATCTTGTCCTGAACTGCTGCATCGTGAGCTGTTACAAAACTCACATTTTAACCTCTAAAATGCCATATTTTAGCATTTGTGAGTGTAGTTTCATAGTATATTTGCTTTTTTTCAGCTAAAACAGCTTAAGAAATTTCTGGCCCCACCTGCACATTTCTGTGCCCCTGACCTGTTCATTATATCCCACCACTTTTTCGGTTAAACACTCCCATCGCTTCCTTATCTGTGCGTTTTGCTGAGACTAGGTGCTAGGTGAAGCACAGACAGGGTGGGAGGAATGGGGCTCAGCCTAGGTAAACAAAGTGGATACATTTTGGAAGGGAAGCAGGGTGAAAGAAGTGACTTGCTTATGATCACAGGGTGGGAGGAATGGGGCTCAGCCTAGGTAAACAAAGTGGATACATTTTGGAAGGGAAGCAGGGTGAAAGAGGTGACTTGCTTATGATCACAGGGTGCTAGAGGGTGATGGCAGAGCTCTCCGCGGCAGAGGCCCCTCCTACTTAAATCTGCCACTGCTGTTAACCTACGAGAAAATACTTGCTGGAGCTTTCAGGAGTGACACAGAAAGCCTCAGCCCAAAGCCTGGGGCCTGCCTAGAGGTCTTTTCCCTTCCTCCACACCTACAGCAATTATGAGAAAGAAAAACAGAGCGAAACATGAGGAACACTGATGGTTTGTCTTCCTCATGTGAAGCCACTGAGTGATTCAGAGCATGGGGAAAAGTGCCTGTCTCCCTGTGAGCCAGCAGAAGACCTACTGCCCTGGGGCATCCCTCCACAGGCACCCCAGCTCCCTCCTGCACCCACTGTGCCCTCCCAGGTCACACTGCCCTTCTCCAGCTCCCCTTGCTCCGCGGGAGTGGCACCCACTGTCACAGCTGCCACCCAGCACCCTACAGGGTCTCCCACCAGGAACAGGCTGGGGTGATGCTCACAGCTCCACAAGAAGGCAAAGCATTACCCTGAATTAGCTGAAAGACAAATGGCGTTTGTTTGAAGAAGCACCAAACACCAGCCAAGTCATTGCTGGTGCAAAGGGATATCACTGACGTGCAACGGGAGAAATTTGTTACAAAAATCCAGCAGTGTGCAAGGTAGCCCAAGTATGTACTGACTCAAAATCTCACTATTTGAAAATCAATCCTCCATAACAACTTCATTCATGCCACTTTTCTCAGTTTTGGCTTCCACAGTGGCATAAAGACTGGTTCTTGAGCAGCTGGGTTGTTTTCTGAGCTGCCAGGTTGAATCCTACCTGGTGTCCCAGCTCTCCATGCTCCTGTTAGGATACTGTGGTTGTTGACCTGAAAGGCTTAACTAAAATGGTAAATTAAGTAAGAGGATCTGTCGCTGCTGACACATGTGTCTGAGAGAGCTTTGTGGGGCTTCACGTGGGCTTGGCAAGGAAGGGAAGAAGGATTCCAAATACACATATCCCAAAAGGCTCACTTAATCATGCTACGTGCTGTCTGTTTTACAGAGAAAGGAGTTAAGGACACAAGCCACCTTGGGTTTTTTTTCCTGTGGTGAGCTTTTAATTTTTCCCTTTCCCTGCTGTAGTCTGGCTCCACAGGGACCTCTGACGCCAAGCTAAATGGAAGGTCTGTGGTCTCCCTGTGACCTGTGACCTCCACTGCAAGCACGAGTTACTGATTCAGACCCTTCATGCCACATCTGTCTAGAAAAGCTGCTCATGCTGAGGGCTTTGGGTCTTCCTCACCCACCCACCTGCAGCTGTTGAGGGGTTGTTGAAGCCCCCCCAGCTCAAGGCACACAGAGGCCCCTCATTTTCCAGCCCCAGCCAGCATAAACATGGGTGGATGGTTTCACATCTGAACTGGAAACTTGGGGAGGATTTATTTTCCAAGATCCTAACAACGAATTAGGTCTTTTCTGGCAGGTCCTCCATGAGGATGCGCCAGCTACTTGATCAGCTGCGCAGCCCTGTGTCCAGGAGCCGTATTTCTCGTGGCCTCCATGGGAAGTGGAGACAGTCCCTGCTTGCAGAAGTGGGTGGGGGAGTGGGGAGCTGCTCAGAGAGGGGCCTCAGGACAGAACCTGATCTTAAATACTTGGCAGAGATGCTGTGAGGTCCCATGAAGCTTGTGGGATGGAGGACGTATGATAAATAGCCAGTCTGCTCCTGTTTTCCCCTAAGCACAGCAAATATCAATGTACACCGTGCTGCTGACATGCAATATGGACTGCTCAGCCCCACTTTTTGGGAGCGAATGTCCTCTGGGCTCCCTGCCCTGGAGTCCTCCAGGGTCTGGCTGCTGGGTATGCTACCACACTTAGGATGTGAGACTACCACACTTACCATTTCCTGCGAGAGACATCCTGGTTCACAGCACAGCATCTCCACTCTCCATCCACGTGGTTCCTGGAGGAAACCCTGTCTGGTGATGGCTGTAGCAGAAGCCTTGTTTCTCCTGCCCAGTTAACAGTATCCAGACTCCTGCCTGGTCCAGGGTAGGATGCTGACAACTTCTGTTTAGCAATTGAGCAAGGTTTTAACTACATAAATGATAGCTGCATATTTGCTGGGACATAAAAAATAGAATGTAGGAGTACAGCGGGGCAATAGATTATCAGTACAAATGAACTGAAACTATCTTAATTTCACTGTCCAAGCTGAGGAAAAAAGCCATGATGAGTGACAAGGGAATAGGATTTTTTTTTCTCCTCTTTTAACCATCATGGAAGTCAGCAGCTGCAAAGATTAAAAGAAATCTGGTTCTGACATTCGGTTTTTAAATCAATAGTCTCTTCTTTTTCTTGGATTCAGTAGCTTTCCATTTCTAAAATTGTGTTTGGGAAGCAAAAGAGCATGAAGAAGTCTGTGGTGATCCTATTAACTGTCAGGGAAGGGATACTGTCCTAGCAAGGACAGGCTGGAGATGAGAGTGGGAACCCGTAGGGTTTTTAATTTTCACATTCTTCATCTCACTTTGTTTACTCGCTGTCTGCAGAAAGGCTGGAAGGCCAAGTGCCAAGATTTTCCTCTTTCGCACATACACAAAATGTTGCAAAAAAACTCTGTTAGCTTTCTACCAGTTAAAAAAGAAAAACAGCAACACTTTCAAAATGGAGAACAGAAAGATTTCTCTAAGGCAAGTTCATATGCAACCTGCTCTCTAGTGACATAAGACCTGCCTTTCCGCACAAGCAAGCATCTGCAAAGCCTAAACTGGGTGCTTTGAAAGCAATTTTCTTGCACTCCAGCCCTGGCCCTATTATGAAACCATTAAGTTAAGAGTTTCACACTCTTAGTAAGTGACTCTCCTCCAGGAGACAAAAATAATGCTTTGCATAGCAGAGATTTTCTGTACCTTTTGAGGTGCTCCTACTTGAATTGCAAAGTCTTGCCCGACCAAGGTGTTTCTGCTTTGGATCTGTCTGGAATTGGAGGTCATAAAAATTGGAAAGACCTTGCCAACAAGCTCTACCGAGAAGACAAATTGTCTGAGAACATCTTGCAGGTGCCATTTTTGTCTGGGGGCCTGCAGGTGGCAGGGCCTCTTTGCCCAGACCAGCGCTCCCTCTGACTTCTCATGAGCTTCTCTGTCTTCTCCGGGCCAGTTAAGGTTTAGCACACTGGTTTTGTCTTTTCCCTGTGGTCTTTTCAAAACAGGGCAGATGAGACCTAGCAGGGGAAGAGCACATATCAAAGTAGCGGATTTGGACCCTTCAGGATGCTCCGGAGGCTGGACTCAGTCCTTGGAGAGCATCTGCTCCAGAGCAGAAATATGGTACTGGGGGCTTTAAAGTCCTGCTTTCTTTCTCCTGCCAGCAGGCAGCATGAGCAGAGCAGAGCATTTCCCAGTGCATGTCATCCAGCAGGACTCCAGGAGGGCTCTCCAGCCTACTTAACCCCATGGCAGCCTGTGCTTGCTCTTGTTACTTCCTGGGGACATCATGATGGGAATGGTCCCACCGTCATGGCAAGGCACGCGTGTAGTATTACATAGCACATTCAAGTAAAGGCACATACAGCACATGGGTACAGATCATGGTACCTTTGCTGAGCTGGCTGATATACAGAGTGTGGGTTCTCTGATAAATCTGATTTGCTCAGTGCAGAGATTATTTAGCTCTGTTTTGTTGCCCAATGCATCAGGTATAGCATCGCCTGTCTGCCATACACTGCCTCTCTTTTAAAAACAGGATCATTGAGTGTCTCAGAAGAGCATTTTTCTCTTGTAGATTTAGACGCAGGTGGTCCCTGTATGATATATCATGCCTAGTGGCAACCCTATGCACTGTCCCTGCAGTCAGCGAAAGAAAGGTCATTCCTGTAGAAAATATAGGGTCTATAGGAGTGTGCTCTCCTTTCCAGATCTCACATGCAGTCAGTGTAGGGTGCACAGCACTTAGTGTTACTGTGCTGTTGCTGTGGATGACCAAGTGGCTGCATGTTTTGTTGGGTGCTTTTTAATTTCATCTTTGTTTTGCATAGATTAATTTAAATGCTGACAAAAGTGCCTAGAGACATGGGAATGTGCTTCAGACAAAGCCAATGCTGTAAGAAGTGTAGTGTCCAAGTAAGCTGCAGCATGCAGACTTACAAATGCTTTTGCTGGCTCTCGTCCAGAAGGATACAGCAGTTATCATATTCCCGGGAACTATACCCTCTTTGTTTTCCTCTGTTGCTTGAGGAAGGGGTGCTTTTTGCTACAATTGCAGTGAGTTTAAATAATGACATCTGTATGCTGAAATTGCTTTTTGCTCTGTTTCTACTTTTGAAACTATGAAGATAACGTTTGATTACAGAGGGAAGCTGCAGTAATTGAAGCAATAATAATTTCGATGTGTTATGGTGACTGTCTAACACCATGTTGCTATTTAGATAATCATTAAAAAGCAGATCACCAAAAGTCATTTTCTCAGACTGGGGAAGAGAAGTTACAACAGGAGATGTAAAGAACTGGCATTGTACAGGTGACCCAAAAGAAATTTGAGAAGTGACCTTAATTCTGTGTACAAGTGTCTTTGGGGAGTGGGGGGCAGAAATGCCAGCTCTTGCAGGACTTTTAAATATAGTGAGCAAGGCAGAGAATAGCCATGATTGAAGATTAACAAAGGTCAAAAATAAGATTAGAGACCAGGCATACTTTTTGAAAAGTGTTTACTGATGATAAATATTGGGACAAGCAACCCAAGGAAGCGATTGATTAGTTGGTTATTAATGCCTTCCAAGGAGGTCTGGGGTCTTTCTGGGACATAGGCTTCAGGCAAGCAGGCGCGAATGGCTCTGGGCAGCATTAAATGGTCATATCTTTTGGTCTGTCTGCTCATCTGATCTTTTCTTCTGGCCCAGTAGACCAGAAATGTATGCAATGAAAAACTGATGTCCTAAAGTCTTCTAGGCCTCTTTTTCAATATGAAAAAAAGAGAGTTGGAGTCCATAGAAGAGTGAACTTACCTGATGTGGAGATCAGAAGAATACTCTCCTCTGTATTAGTGCACACAGTTAATCAAAGTTGCCATTAACACTAAAAAGAACAATCTCCATTCTGTTCCTTTAAAAGGTGGGCAAACAGTAGAACTTAAGTCCTATAGGGAGCTCACAGCAGCAGCAGCTGGAGCTTATTGTTTCTATATGAGGACTACACTATACCTCATACAAAGATGTGACCCAACAGCTTCAGCACTAACCTGTGAGTTTCACAGGCTGGCACCAGTTGATGGTTGATGCATGCTCAGGCGTACATAGACTTCAAGAAGCTGAAGAGATGGGATTGTCTTCCAAGTAGGAAGGTTGTGTTTTTGATGTGCTATAGAGGCTTCCTTCTAGCTCTTTTAGTCTTATAAAGAAGAAAGCACTTGGCTGCCTAAGGAGGACAGATTGCTGCCCATCCGATCCACCACTTTTCCTATAGTAAACATGTTTGGTTTAATAGGGTGGATAGTCACTGCCACAAATTGGGACTGCTTTTCTCCCCTAGGGAGGAGGAAATGTTTTGCATGATTGAAATACTTCACAGTAGGTAAGGCGAGTTCAAAAGCCATTTCCAGGTCACATGTATCCAAAGTATACAGAGTCCTCTGCCTAAATGACACCTTTTCAAAACAAGCATGCCAAGGTCATTTCAGTTCTAATCACCATGCTCAATCTCACAATAATAAAATCTTGTTATCTGGAGCCTTGTGATATTGTGAATCACCACCTAATGATGAGACTGTCTCACGCATGCATCAGTCTTGCTTTTTAAGATACAGAAATCGTGAACTCCCAGTACAACTTAATCTTCAACATTTCTTTTCCCATTTTTGTTAATTGGCCTGTAGATTAACTTTTAAAATGCAGTATCTTCTCTTCTGACGACAAGAAACAGCATACATCTTTCGGCTATTATATACTAGCTTTTTCTAATAAAGAGCTGCCCAAAGGCCCCCAAGATGTGGTAAGAGGGCTGAAAATGTCTGGTGAAATTATTTCTGTCCTGATAATCAAGAACAAAGCATGTTCATTAAAAAAAAAAGTAACAGAAAATAAAAGAAATATCTAAAGGTTTTAGCCTAATTTTTGCTTGTTTGTGGAAAAGCAATGTGCCCTGTGGATAAAAGAGAGGGGAAATGTGAGTTTCACAAAATTTGTTCCTTGTTTCCAGATTGTGCTCTTATCCCTTCCCGTTCACAGACTGCTTCCTGCAGCCCCCCGGGTCTGTGCGCTGGTGGGTACCTTAAAATGGCCTCAGACTTGGCAGATGTTGCATGTGTATAAGGTGTCACCCAAACACGTGGCACCCACAGAGGCTGCCACTGCCGTGGTTTGTGTTTACAGATTGGGTACAGCATATTGAGCAGGACACAGGTTGCAAGGATGGCTCTTTAATACAGTTCTGAAATACAGACAAGAATTATGAGTGCTTTACTAACCTCCCAGATACCTTAGATGCCTCTCTAAGGATGGCATGAATTGCTTTCTAGAGGTGCCTCTTCTTCTCCATTGACTGTGAAGAGAACACAGGTGGCTGACAAGCTTGAGCAACTAACTTTTAAGTGGCCGAAATGGGGGATATAGACTGCTACCTGGAGAACCTCAATAAAGGCAACAGAGTCAAGATCATATAAGCAGTTTCAAGGAAAGAGGCCTCTGATTTCAAAGATGAGCTTTGCAGGTGATTGGTAGTGCTGGTGGCATTCTTCCACTGTAGAACACCAATCTGATTGTGCTTTTTTTTTCTCTCCTGCTGAAGGTCGTCACTGTGAGGTCCATCAGATGATTGGAAACTACATGTGGGACCAAAAGACCAATTTATCTTTTGATATTGGTGTGAATAAAGAAAGCCTGCTGCCTCTCTGGTGGAACGGATCAGAGCCTTTGTGGGTCACAATGATGAAAGAAAAGAAGAACGTCTCCATGTACTACTGGCCAGGTTATTATGTCAAAAACTGCTGCCATCTTAACAGTGCATCTTTGTATCTAAGCTTTCCACATGCTGCAGGATAGCTCTTTAATACACTTCTGAAATACAGACAAGAATGATGAGTGCTTTACTAACCACTTGTAGAAATGAATGCTCTTTTCTTAGGCCGTGACAATTTGCACATGCTTAGAAAAGGAAAAGACTGAAGTGTCACTGGAGGTACCTTTCTACCAGATGTTACCTTCAGGGTAATTGCTCATTACTCTTGGCCCATTGGTAGCTTCTGCTGTGCTGAATGCTTGCTCTATGAATGGTTCATGGAGCAACACTTCAGACCACGTCACTTAATAAAGTTAAACAGTAACCATCCTCCCACAGTGCTTGTTTGGTTTTAATGTGGAAATTAGTAGCTAAAAGCTGAAGATGATCTACTCTATGGGGACAGCAAAGTCCAGGTAAAAGCAAAGCATCCTTTGATAAGCTGGAGTGAGAGCCCTTCTCCTTCTTCACCATTAACTCAGCTGAGGTCTCATTTGCTCAGTCTGGGCCATTCATTTGGAGGGACTTGTCCTTTCCATTCCTCATTCATCCACTGAAATCACTAGGGATGTATAACAATAAGTCTTTTTTAACAAATAAGAGCATACCTTTAGATTGTCTGTTTAGGGACCCACATGGAAATAGATGTTCCAGCTGTGCAGCCAGACCAAATCCCTTGCAAGGTCCCCAGCTTCTCAGCTTTTGGACCTTTTAACTCTGCTACCTAAGCAGTATGTGAATAATCTCATATGTGTAACTGCAGGCCAGAGGACCACATGTTGTAAGAGCTGTACTGTAGAGACACTGTCAGCAGTAGGGCAGCGGCAGCTGAGTCACACTGCAGGCAGCCGGCCAGCCTCGCTTCTGTATCCTCACACACGCGGGCCTGGCCATGCTCTTTCCATGCCATGTGGCTAATGGCATCCCAGAAAAAGAGGCCACAGTTCTCAGGAAAGGGCAGAAAGAGCGAATCGACATGAAAAGCACTGAAAAGCCATGCAGAGTGTTTGTGCAGTATTGACGAGCAAAAAGGTCTGAGGGTGACAATATTGCCTCACGGACTCAAACGCCGCCCAAGGGACTGGAACTGCAGGCTAGACATAATGGTCTGGATCAGCCCTGAATAAAAAGCTTCTTCTTATTGGAGATCACCCAAATGACATAACAGCAATGCAAATAGTAGGATATAGAAATTGCACAATAATGCAAAAATTCTTCTGAAGATGAAAAAAGACCTGTTTCTGTCAACCATTCATTTTTAACTACTAATGTAACTGCACTGGCTAGGTATAATTCTGCACTGAATAGCTGTAACAGTCTACAGAGGGCTAATGAAGTCCAAAAGAACAGCATCACTTTTCATTAAATGTCTTTGGGCTTTACCTAGCACCTTCATGTTGCCCTTTGAGCAGTGTCTCCCAGGGAGAAGACATATGAGATGTATATGTATACATATGTATACCCTTCACACTCATTTTTTCATCTGTGACCTATGACCTTCGGCAAAGCCCCTTAGTTCAGGAAATGCTTAAACACACACTTATTTTCAAGGGTGTTCATGGTTTCAAGGGACACATTGACCACACAGGGTCAGGCACAGGGCAGGAAGCAGGGTCGAACATGGAACTATTGAACTAAAACACAGAGCAGTTGGGCCACAGTGGGAGTCCAGGTGTAACTGGAGTAAACAGAAGGCGACCCAAATGCAATAGTATTTATTTATTACATTTTCCTCATATGATTTTTTGGAACTGTTTTCTAGTTCCATAGTAAGGATGTAATCTTTTATTCTAGATTTATTATTTTAAGGCTTTAATTCTTTAAAAGGCTGGGGAGCCTTTAAAAGACTGGGGAGCGGTGCCAAACATAATGAAAGAAAAAAAAAATTTAGTAACCAAGGTGGGTGGAGGTCCCACAGACATTTGTAATGCGTATGATCTGTGACTAACTTTCCAGCCTGAGAATATATATGCTGCTGCTTAGAAATGTATCTTGCAAATCTGATAAAGATCCAAACAGGAAAAGTTTGGAAAATTATTAATAGGAACAGCAATTTAAATCCAAATTCATCACAGTTTGTTCTGGAAGATGCTATTTTCTCTCTAGCCAGTGGTGAAGAAAAAATCTGATCAAATGTAGAAGAAACTCGTGAATGCCAGAGAGCTGATTCCCAGGGTTAACTTACACCTCTGCCATTTCCTCCTCAGAGCCAGTTCCAAGATTTGCAAAGTCAACCCAAAATCTGCAGCTTCATATTCTTCCCTATATTCCTCTCTCATGCATATTCAGTGCTTAAAGAAAGAAAACCCAGACCCCAGCAAACAGGGACGCAGAGCAGGAGGGCTGCTGGATGCAAACGCCCATACATCACAGCTTATCTGTGAGCCCAACATAAACATGGCAAAGACAACTCATGGGCTGAGCCAAAATACCACTGCACTGGGGGTCCCAGCCGCTGCTTGTGCCAAAACATAAGCACTTGGCTTGTAGGGACATTTTTCTTCTTTTGTCATGGCATTTATTAGGCAGTTTCTGCTTTTCGAGGCATTC